CCGACAACGAGGTCAACCCACTTCTATCAAAAGGAATGCTACAAATTATCCTATGAGACTTGCATAAGTCTGTTAGTAGCCGATAATTCAGCTTAATTGGCAACACAATAGTAATGTTCTACTTAATGCTCCAGGATTCGAGATAGACAAGAACATCCATTAAAATATAGCAATATAAGACTGATATATGAAATAATAAAAGGAACAAAGACTTACTAAACTCCAGTATCCAATTAAATCATTTAAATTGGTAGGAGTTTCAACTGTCTGCGATTCATCTAGTTGCAGCAGGGCAGTATCGAGGAGTCCGACGAAGAAGTTGAATTTTTTATCGAGAAGAAGCTTTGCCTTGCCGACATTTGCTCTTATTGTATCCACACCTTGAGACAAAAATACATGGAGATTCATAAAGAATATGATCGTAAATCGAAAACTTATTTTCAATAATGCCCTAGCATGTAGGTGCATTGAAAGTAATAGTGACAGGGCTTAGAAACTTTGGAAACTTAAAGGAAAAACACTGTTAGAAAACTTGAGGGAAAGAAGATACTTACTAACCGATTGGACACCAAGAAAACAAGAGCTATTTATTTTTAGGAATCCAGAAGAGACCTGACGCTATCTGGACATACCTTAGCCTGTTGAACAAAGTAGTGATGCACTTCGAAATTTGAACTGGTTCTGTTGAATCATACAAAGAACAGGGGATCCCGTAAAGAAAAGGAGGGACTTCCTCGAATAGATAACGAGGAATTTGAAATAAGGAAGACTCATTTTTAGATGTTTATCTTCTAGTAAGTTACAGTTTTAGAGAAACACAGTAAAAAACAAAATTCTTTGGTTAAAAAGTAATGACAACAACCTTGCTCATAAGACCGCTAAGTGGAAACGGAAGCAAGTACACAAAATAAATTAAAAAGACCATGCTTCATGCATTATGCTCAACTTCAAGTATATATAATTAAGGAAAAAGCTTACCCGATTCAGGGATACGTTCTTCTTCTTCATGAAGGACAGAAAGCCATTCGCCACAAAGAGATTGAATCCTGGAAAGTTCCACGTTTACCAGTAGCTTGAATTTGCGAAGTGAAATGGAGGATAGTCGGCTTTCATCAGAGAGAATCTCCACATCGTGCGGACTCTCAAGATAATTGGATTCATCCATGATAGCCAAAGAATCAGATTTAGAAGCCTGTGGGGAAACGAGATATGACTCGTTTTTTCCAGGTTCATTTTTGACTGGGTGCAACTCTGAATGATCTGGATGGACATTGCCTTCTAAATCATCGTCGGTCTCTGGATCATCACCTAGGAAGTAAAAGATAGGAGGCGTAACAATTGAGTCTAACATAGGCATCAGCCTAACATGAGTAAAAGCATGAAAAAAAGTAAGAAACTTTTCACAAATGAATAAATAGTATAAGTAATGAATATAAAATTTTACAACAGAATAATGACTCAAAAGGGTTTAGTATTTAATTTTAAGTGTACATTTCGTTCGGATTAACGATGGATAGTCGTTAGGATATAAAAATCAGCGTTTGAAATGCGATGGATCAAATTAAGTGGATTATGATAAATTCGCGAAATCTAAATACTTCGACAATCAGATACATGCAAAGTGAATAATCCACTTAGTGTTAGCTAGCGTAAAGAACTAAGAAAATTAAATCGATTAAGTATGAAATGCAGATATTTATATTAATATTGCGTAGGTGCCACCATCCCAACAAAGCTTCCTAACTTTTATAATTGAAAAACTGTTCGATGATCTAAACAGTATTACTTAGGATGGTTATCAGAAATATCGGAACATTTACCAGTTCTGTCTTCAACGTCATCATCGCTTGTAACTGCTGAGGGTGATTCGTCCTTAGACTCTGCATATTTGTGATAGCTTTGAGATGGATGCAAAACAGCGACCTTCGGCGTAGTTAAACTTGGCTCTACAGTTCTTGAGAAAGGTGTGGACGTTGATAGTTTGCCGTCATTTGGTTCAGAATTACGAGTAACGGTCTTTAGCAACTTGGGACAAGGTGCATTGAGAGTAACGCTGAAAAAAAACATATCCAATAATAAGACAACGAAGAGAAAAGACAATATATCGTCCGTCGATTAAATAAGTGTATAGCCGTTTTCTTCCTCTGTATAATAGATGTAATCTAAGATATTTACCAAGCAAGAAGAATAAGAGATGACATATTATATAAGAACCAGCATTCCTACCCATACTTACCAGGAGGCACGACTTTTAGCTAGGGGAACTGAAGCAGGCATTCCTCCAAGCGTTATATGGGAAAGTCTGCGGGAAGTTACAGAAGTAAGGTCACGTCGGCTAGGGAGTCTCAGAGGTGTATGAAAGTCAGCGCCTAAAGAAAAGTAATAATTAATATCTTCTCGGAAGTAAAAAAAGGGAAATAATCGATATTCACCTTTATTTTCGGTACGCGACAAGTGAATACCACTGTTTACCGCATTTAGAGAGCGACGAGGTCTTATTTCAATCAGAGGACTGTTAAGTACGGCTTGTGCCTTAGCTTCGAAGGACCCGAAACGCCGTAAATCGTTAGAGTTGCGAGCAACAGGTATAGGACCAGTGGAGGATGGCGTTTTATAATTTTCCTTGGTATCTGAAGGCGCAGGAGCCACCTCGCAGTCTAGTGACTTCGTGGTTGCGTCGCAACTACAGGTAAAAGCTGATGATAAAAATGGGGCTACCTTCCGAGAGACACTAGATTAACGACAATCTCATCGTCAATTTCGACTTCATCCACAGAAAGGTTATTCAGATTGGGGTTTATACCTCTAGGGGTTCTTGGAACCGCTTCGATGCGGATCCGCCGAGGCATAACAATTAAGAATTTGAGTTATAAAAAGGAATCCTAATAATTTCACTAAAGCACAAGAAGAAAATTTAATAGGCGTAGAAAGATGATTACGCACTATATTCAAAGTCTGGAAGGCCGCCAAGGGCGGGTACCTGCAAGTGCAGTTCAGTGAAAATACGAAATTAGGTAAATACATAAACCATTACTAATAGCTTGCTTTAGTTATATGAAATTAAAATAAAAATATTAACTAACACAGTAAACTAATATTCATGATTTTTTGTCTGTATGCTAAGTTTGAATTATGATTAAATAATGTCAAAGAACTCGTTAATGTATAGTCGGCCTTAACTCTTACTAACTCCT